GGGCAAAGACAGATGAGGCTGCAGAGTATCAAATGAGAGAGGCGTGCAGCGTTATGGTCAGATCAGACTACTCAGTCAGGCAATCAGCTCTGGCACTGATCTGCAGTATTGTTATACAGGTTAAGTTCTCTATGCCTAGTAAAAGGAGGATAGTGTATGTTCTGAAGCGGTGCTGTGAATCAGTGTTTATGAAACATTTTTGAGCTTTTGCATGGAAGTCACCGTGTAAATACTCTTAGCATTAGTATTTTCTTGATTCCGTCTTGCTCTTCTGGGTGAGTATTAAGAATATTGTCTTTGATAGCTCCAGATATAATGGTATTTTGAATCTTGCTATATAGTGCTATACAGAATATTGCTATTCTGTAGTAATCACACTTGCATTTCTCCACCAATTTTTTCTTGAGGACTGCGTATGATACATGTTTGACTGCGTTTCCCCCAAATAAGACTGATCCAAGTTCTCATGTAAAATGAATAAGTTTGGAAAACTGTAGGTGCCAAGGGCATCTTTGGGAGGAGGGAGTGTTTCTGGGAAAGAATTTTCCACAGAACGCGAGCTGAGTTGTGCCTTATCCTTCTATAGCCTCATTTTATCCCCAATTGCCCAAGAGTTATTCAGGTTGAATTATCTCTATACGGAAGAATCTTGCTGACTTCGATTGCTGTAGGATTGTTATTTTCTCATTCTATTAAAAAAAATTCAGTAAAAAACTAAGATATGAAGCTATAGGTTGGAACCTCTTCTGATGAGGTTTTGTGTGTTATTTTTCTTGTGATGTTTTGACAAAGACTGTGTTACTAAGCGTGTTGAAAATATATGGAGGAAAAGCTCAATTAAAACTTTAGCTACAAGGTTTAATGAAGTTATGGTCTTGGTCATATTATTTGTAGGTTGTCAGACCTTTTTTTTTTAGTTAGCAAGTCATTAACTAGTCTTTGGAAGCTCAAGAATTCTCTTCACGCTAAAAATGGTTTCTCTAGCTTGTCTGTGGGTAAGGTGAGGGAAGCCTGCGATGCAACAGCTTGAACATAGAAATGGGATTTTGTTTCAATGGCTGGCAGGTATATGACTAATAAAATAATTTTGAAAGGAATTGCTTACCGTGGGCTAAGAAAGGTCATTTTAAAGGGGAGAATGAAGAATAACATGCACAGTTCAGTTGTTTAGTCTTTTGTTCATTGTGAGCATCTTTAATGCTGTCATTACTCATCTGTTTTAATATTCTCTACAACATCCACTTAATTAGCTATGCTTAACATATCTAAATAAAATCAATACATTTTTCTTTTGAAATTAGTTTCCTAAGGACAGTATGGGTCTCTTACCTACCACTATTAATTTCCAGTTGGATTAATAAAACTGCCCTTTGCTGAAGATGTATATTGAAATCCCAAATTTTAAATAAAAGGCCTTAATTAAATAACCAAATAGCTGCTGGAACGTTTTGCATTCAGAGCTGTTGTCACATATGCTTGGGTGCTGCTTCTTTTAATGACTTGATTAGTATGAACAATAAGAACTAGAGGAATGCAGCAGGGATTGAATATATGCATACAGGCTAACGTTATTACCTTGACCCCCCCCTACGCAGAGCTCAAACAGATTTTTTTTTGTGCAAGGAATTAATTTGGAGAACTGTGGAACAGCTGCTCCTCCCTCCCTCCCTGTCTCCATGGGGCAGCTAGGAGCAGGCAGCAGGGCAAGTTCCTTGATGTTTCAGCATCCGGACTAAAAGGAAACCGTGATCATTATGCACCGGTGCGGGCAGAAGGTTGTGACCACAGCATTCATGTAGTAGTTGCTGCCTGGCTGAATCTTGATTTCCTATGTGTGGGTTACAAATGATCACAGAGGTTCTGTGAGCTGAAGGGATTTAGGATCATTCTGTGTGTCTGCTTTTTGGTCTGGTTTATTTTTAATGTTAAAGCTATTGAATGATCTTATTAATGGGGAACTTCATCTGCAGTGCAGTGATGCTGTTGAGTTCTCTTTTCTTACTGCAAACGTTCATAAAAGGTGCACTGATGTGGAAAGAAAATCCTGATCAATGGCAATAAAAAACTTTCTGTTGAGTGCTGAAGTTTGTTTAAACTTAGTTGAAGATATTCTTGCCATTCAGACCGATTTTCTTTAGAACACTGTTCTGTACAGAAGCAGTAGGTAGCATTGTGTAGGTCTTCAAAATGACACTTTAAGCCTTCTGCAAGTAACGTACTGTTAAACTGGCTTCAGTCAACAACTTTGGAATGGCTATATTCAGAGACAACCCTATGTTGCACGCCCACGGTTGTTCAGAAGCAAAGGAAAGCTACGTCATGTTTTTATTTCAGTGATACTATTTTGTGGAAGAGTTGAGGATGGCAAACTGTGCTGAAATTTTGAGAACTGTTATCTTTCCAAGAGCTAAAACTTGTGAGATCAGTGTGTAGAGTTGTGTTTTTAACAGCATCTGAAAAAATGCAGAGGTGTGGCCCCAAAGATGTTCTGTTTGAAACCAGGCTTTTGAACCCGTGGCTGCTTTTATTTTAAAGGAACAGCTGGGCATTTAGTGAAAAAAATGATACAATCCTAAACCGGAATCCTCATCTTAGCAGTGAAGTGGGCCACAGTTTACAGGGAGGAAGAGTTAAATGTTACCGTTTGTTCAGAGGCAAAATAGGGAGTGAAGCTAAGCAGAGTCCACGTGGTGTTTTGCCAGTGAATTCTGGCCTTTCCCCGAACAAATGCTCTTTAAAGGCACGAAAAGTTTAGTCTGTCTTCAACTTTGCGTGCCCTCAGACTTAGTAAGGATGAAAATATGTCATTCACTGAAAGCTTTTACGTAATGCATGTCTGGTAAGCGGGAATTAGAGGGAAGGCCCAAACTCTCATTATGCAGGGCACAAACTGGCCATTGGATGGTGTTTATCTGAGGTATAGCTTGACCAGGTGACTCTGACTTGAAAGGTTCTTCCATAGGTTATCTCTAAACTTTGTAAACCTGCTGTTTTTGTGGCAGAATTAATAGTTTCTTGGGAATGTACCATATTAATCAAGATTCATATGTGATAGCTTTATTTTTTGTGGATAGATTTAAAATGTTATGTGTTCTGTATAAAAATCATTCAGCTGATTCAGTTCATTCTTCTAAGTTCTAATATGCGCTATCAGTCACATAATACGTGAAATAAAAATTACCAAGTTTTTATTCACCTTTTCAGATTTTTACTGCATAAGAAGGAGGAAACAGAATTCAGGTGTCAATTTAGCTATTTCTGTAGCAATATTCACTTCTAAAGAAAATAATCCCACATTCCAAAATTTACGTGCTTATTTGTACATTGAAGCAAATCTGTGTTCTGGACTTTTTGGCTAAGTTTGTGTCTGATTTCCTTTCTTAGAATGTAATTGATGTCTTCAGGAAAGTTCTTGTAGCTTGCTTTTTCTTGATATGCATTGCAAATGGTATGCTCGTTCAGTCAGTGTAGATCTGTGCTACTGAATAGACATGTTTGAATAAATGTTATTCCAGTTTATCAGAAATACCGATAAAAAGAAAACAGTGGTCACTGGAGGACTCTTGAACATAAGGCACGTATCCAACAGCATTATAATTACTCACGTAGAAGGAAGACTTCTGGGAAATTATTTGCGTCTTTCTCACTGACCCTCTCCTTTTATCAGTCTGTGACTTTTTACTTCTGTCCTTCACACATCACTTGCACACACACGTTAAGGGCCGTTGTAATTGTTATGGCAGCCGGGGACCGCTAGACAGCAGACACGTGAATTGAGGCGCAGAAGTGAGTGACACTGAGCTTCCGCTGGTTTGTACTGGCTGTGGTGTTCTTCATACCCCTCCATTTGCTGATTTAATCGCTAATACCAAGGATGGTTAGGCTTTTTTGGTTATTAGTAAGTTAGAATGGGAGCTGACATGAGGATGAGGGGAGGGAGCTATGACTTCTCTTCTGGTTGAAGCTTCAGGTGTAATTGCGGCGTTAATGTTAGCTGATTTCCTCCGGTGTTACTATTGACTACCGTAACATCTTCTTGTGTCTGGAAATCTGTGGCTTCTTTTTTGTTTTTTTGGTTTTTTTTTTTGCTTTGTTTTATTATTTATTTATTTATTTTTATTTTTTAACTTTATATCCAAGAGCTTCTTTCCTGGAACATTTTTGGTTTTGCTGAATCCTGATATTCCTGAAGTGTCTGTGTTTAAACTTATATGCCATTATATTTGGAACTGGCTGTCTTGCTTGTCTGAAGAAGGCTGTGGCAGTCACTGTAACCTCAGACGTGGGATATTAGAGAAGAGAA